GTGAAATGACTAGCCTTCACTCTCTCCCTCTCCTACCCCGACAGCATGTCAAGATGAGTCTATTTTGAGCCGTTATGTGTATTAAAGGGAATGTGTGGAACTGTTATGTGAAAAGACCGCAATACAGCAGACCACTGTTTACCCTGCTCAGCTGAGGAACCTGCAACAGCAGAAATGGTAGGGAGCAGCTTAGGAAATAGGCCTAAAGTGCCAGGAAGAAGATTGCTTCACCTGGCTTCTGCCTGGAGGAACTCCGCAGGCTCCATTTTCAGAAGGCTAGTGCAGTCCAACCAGTGATACGATTTGTTCGGTGCAACTTGTGTGCACCAAACGATGTGTTTGCTATTTTTAAAACCTTTGGCTCAGCAATCAGTACTTTAATGCACTGCAGCCCTCGTTGGATACAGGGATTGTTAACTGGTGCAGGAAAAGATATCTAGCGCGATTCCAATCTCCCGAAAGGTTCAGAAACACGTTGCCGGGAATTAGAGTCACGTTAGCTTGACATCTGTAATGAGGAAAATACTGCACAGCCCGATAAAGAAAGCAATTCACATTCAACTACACCTGGTGATTTTAATGGCAATTCAACTGAATCTACTTGGCTTCTGAAAGATAAATCACGAGCTAAACAAATTCTTTGTATTCTTCGGGTGTCTGACAAGAGTCAGTGGATATCGTGTACTTGTCACTTTCTGACAACATGCAGCACCCCTCATCAGAGATTTATATGTAAAGTGAAAGCTTATGGGATGCAAAATGAAGTGGTAAATTGGATTTGAAAGAAGCTAAGTACAGGAAATATAAAATAATTATCAATACCTAATGGCTCAAATTGAGCTATGTGACCACTGCAGTTCCACACTGTATTGCTTCTCAGAGTCTTCTGGTTAATAGTACTTATTATGAACTTGACAGTGGGATTTTAATTAGAACATCTCTATGTGCAGAGAGTGAGATTTACGGGGAGAGCAAGATATTATTTAGAGAAGGATATGCAAATAGCATTTACCATTTTAGAAGGTAAAGTAATGTACATTAGTGCTCATGATCACACAGTGAAAGGCATGATCATCGAACAGAAAAAGAACAGAAAAGAAGTGTTACAGAAAAAGTAACAGGTGAAATCAACCAAAAAACAATGACCATAATGAAACTCAGGGGGTAGTGGATCAACAACAACAAGTTACATTTACACAGTGCCTTTCACGTCAGGAGGACGTCCTGAGGCGCTGGACAGTCAGGGAGCTGCACCCGAAGTGGTGGTTGGGATCAGGATGGGTGGAGGGCAGGGAGGATGGGGGTAGGAGGGTGACCGAAGGCACGGTCGAAGAGGAGGGTCTTGAGATCGGTCTTGAAGGAGGTGAGGGAGGGGCGAGGCGGGGGGCCTGTGGGATGGAGTTCCAGAGGGTGAGGGCAGTAAAGTGGAGTGACTATGTATTTTGTGGGTGAAACATGGCAGCCAATTGCGCACAGAAATATGTCAGTGAGACAAATGTTAGAGAAATAATTAGACACACTAAATTATATATATATACACAATCCAGAATAATAATCCTTGTATCTGATATTGTGCCTTTCATATCACCGAGACATCTCAAAGCTCACAGAGGGCTTATTGGAAACTGTAGTGATTGTGCATTTGTAGGTAAATGCAGCAGCCAATATCCCGACAGCAATATCCCACCAAAGGCCATCAAACGATTGACCAATTTTGTTTAAAATAATGTGGAGAAATGTTGAGAGACGCAAGTACTGAATCTGCAGAGAATTTGGTGCGTGACTACAAACTAAAAGTGGTCAATTTATGGAAGAAATGTAGTGCCTGGCACAGACATTCAGAAAAGCGTTAGCATCTAAATACAGTAACAACCTTGGGGATCTGAAAGGAGAATTTAGGAGGAAATACTTCATGCAGAGGGTGCTGAGATTGTGGAACTCGCTGCCTGAAGCCATGCTTGATTTTATCTCATTTGTTCTTGAAACAAACAACATTTTCGGCTTCCACTGTCTGTCCCCCACGTTCCCGCCCGATATATATATATTGATGATGTCAAAGTAATAGAAATATTGGAGTGTCATCCCCCAAACTCTTCCTCAGTGAAACTGTGCAGTGCTTAATTGTTTCTTGTGCACAATTAAAATCAAGTTTTAATTTTGTTTCATATTTATTTTGTTTGAGTCCTGTGCCTCTTGATCTGAATTTAAATTTCTGTCTGCAATGACATTCTGCTCTATTAATTTCCACCTCGATCCTCATGTTCCAGTCCCCAAACCACATGCCGTGGAGTCCAAACACTTCCTAGTTATGTATGCCCTGGGCAGATACGTTCTGCGCTGTGTGATTAGTTGTTTAGTGACTCCCCTCCAAGGTTGATACAGCTGATTCTATTAAACTTTAGAGGTTAGATCAGAAACTGTCGGATTAATGTGTTTGAACACAATCCATCCCAACTCAACGTAAAACAAATCCTCAAAGTTTCTCCAAATAAAACGAATGCCAAAATCATTTCAGTGCCAATGTTTAAGCTGCTATTGTGCCTACATGATGCATGTCAAAACTGCTCTAATATGACGGTGATTCATTTATCAACTCATTGAACATGTTTTGAAGCCTTTGGCAAGATCCAACCGTGTGCACTAACTTACTATCTTACAACTGCTATTCCGCCAGTTATATTCCTGCTACGGTAACAAGGGAGCAGACATTCAGATTGTCACTAGATGAGTTAAGGGGGTGGTTGGAAAAATTATTTCACGCAAGTCTCGCGAAAAGTAGTTATCAAGCCAAGTAGCTTTTAAAGGGAACTGGATAAAACGTTTGAAGCAACGATATGAAAGGGAATGGGGAAAGAGCAGGAAATTGGGATTAGAGTGGTTAGGTTGATTGGAGGAAATAACAACAGCAAATGGCCCCAGTGTGTTCTAATCTCTATGTATAACTCTTGTTTCCTACCATTCTCCCCATTTGTGCAATAATTAATGATTAACCTTTTTGATTCTATCAACCACGGAAATCTCCAGGACTTCCAACAAGTGGTTAAACCTTCCTGGGATTACGGTCATCTCCCCCTCCTCCACCTCCCGGTTTGGAGTCAGACTCCACCACTATTAAGTGCTCTGAGACGCTACCCTGAGTGGAGGGCGCTACATAAGTGCAAGTCGCTGTTGTTGTAGTTATACATCACCATTAATCGAGGATCTGAGAGACATGCTTTAGACACAAGCTGCCCTTGTGTTGGCAGAGAGCATTGGCCTTATCTTCTTCCATTTCATCATTGATTTATATTAAAAATGTCTTGAAGTCTCTAAGACATAAGGCGCTATATCAAATTCAAGGATTATTATTATTATTGTTATCAAACTTGGGACAATATCTTACAAGTATATCAACAGATAATAACAATAATACCTTCAAATGCTGTTACTCAGAGGAGCTTTAGGCACTTGTGGATTATTTCCGATTCATCAGTGACACTGAATTCATTCTTTACCCAGTTTGGGGACTCATAATAATAATAATCATTGCATTTGATATAGCGCCATTTCACATCTTCGAGACGTCTCAAAGTGCTTTACAGGATATACTGTAAAGTGAATTGAGTATATTTTGTAGGCGAAAGGCATCAACCAATTGCGCACAGCAGTGTCCCACAAACAGTTGTGGATTAAGTGACCAAATCATTATTTTTTTTTACAGCTTCACATGAATGAACTCTACTCCCTTCAGCTTTTACTGCTAGAGAAATTGGTGAACTCTTCAGTTTCCGTAGTGATGTGAAACTGGCCAATTCTAGTGTAGAATTTACCTTTCATCAGCTGTGTTTTCAAGCTGTGCTCTGTGACTTTCCTCATGAATGGCGAAGGAAGATCTATTTAATATGACAATATGTGAGTCGCCAGGACCTCAGATGCACATGGAACAGAGAAGGGGATTCAACTTTGCTTCAGGTGCGCCAGAGGAGAACTCTGACAAACATCAATGAATGGTGGAGCTTGAGAGTTAGAGACATCCAGTCTCTAACAGTGTTCAGCACCTCATACTCCCAGGGCAGAAACAGTATGGGTCACAGCCACGGTAAAGCTCTCTTCGATCTTTCCAAATGAGTCTGGACAGGTCAGGCAAGCATTTGTGCCTGTGGACCTTCCCTGAATGGAATGTGTCCAGAAAGGTTAATACCGGGGAGGAGTGGGAGAGGAAAGGAATGAATCATGGATTACTGAGCAAAGCCCTCGGGTACTGTTACCACATGACAATATGCCTTTTAGTAGAACCTTGATGTGAACTGTGTACACGTGTACAGCCAAAATTGTTGCAATAGCTTCACGTTGCATCTCTCTTGTTACCTGTCGCCTTTTCCCAGTACGTCTGCTTTTTGTCTAATGATAATAATAATAATCCTTGCATTTGATACAGCGCCTTATCACATCTTCAAGATGTTTCAAGAGCGCTTTACAGGATATACGGTTAAAGTGAATTCGCTGCCTATTTTGTGGGCAAATAGGTGGCAGATGCAGTTTGACGTTGAGCAATATGAAGTGGTTCATTTTCTGATAGAACAGGTTATCACACCAACACAGGCTCAGTGTAGAGAGAGTGTAGACCAGTGAGATGTGCTGAATGGTCTTCTGCTCTGCTGGAAGCTCTATGACTCTGTCTTTCTTATGTCTCGTTATTAAATTGAGTGCTCCGTCTTTCACTTGTTTTGCTTTTTTACAATTCCTCTCGCTGTTCCGTGAAATTACACCATTCTCAGCTGGAAACTCATTCCGTATCCCCCGAGTTAACTTCAGCCCCTACTTTAATTTCATAACTTTTAAAGCCGTCTCTCTCTCTCTACTTGAAATTCACCCTCAAGCATCCAATCTGAACATAATCCCTCAGATGGCCCCAAAAATCAATTTGAATCACATAATTGGCACACAAAAGCGTTATTGAATAAAAAAAAAGAAATTATCGTTAAATATTGCAGATTACCCGAGTCTCCTCGGTGGCTTACCTGTCTTTTCGTTTTTGGGTTTCACACTTTCCTGGCCGGGAAGGCAAGGGCAAGGCCCTTCACATCTCATTGCGATGGATTTACCTGACGAGCAAGCTTGGTAATCCAGTTTACACTGTAATCAGACAAAACCATCTAATGTCAGACCATATAAATAGTTTTTATTTCCCCTGAAACCACGTATTAAATCCAACGCCAAACACACAGTGTTACAGCAAATAGCTACATTGATATACTCCAATGGAGAAGGAGTCAGAATGTGGTGCACAGTATTAAAAAACTAAATCAAATTCCTTCCATTCTATCACTGATTTATATTAAAATGCAGCCTCTTCATTCAGAAGAGACTTTCAGTGATTGATGCTCACCAATAAACTAACAGGGACGTGCCTCTATTTGCATCAAAAGTTCTCTCTCATTGCGAAATAAATTGGGGTCTTAAATCTGATCATGTAAATCTTATTTAATTTATTTAGCTTACACTCGAGAATCCAGTCACACTACATTGTCTTCTCATTGTTAAAGTTACATTGGCCACAAGTTCCAAAAGATGAATTAACTCAAAACAAGAGAATAAAGTGCTCTTCGTGTATCGGGGAGAAGATAGTTATTTAACAAAATACTTTGTAAATGACTGAATTCAGAGCGGTTGATAGTAATTCACAACAACGACAACAAACTACATTTGTATAACGCCTTTCATGTCGGGAGACTGACCCAAGCCGCTGATCAGTTGAATCGATGGTAAGGATGGGCCACCCTTTAAACAGGTAAATATTTCCTCAGTCGCACCAGTACACAAAGCAGTCGGTGAAAATGGTGCAGAAAACAGCAGTCAATTGCATTGGAAGTTCAAATAAGCTGCGAATGGTAGAATTTTCACCAACTTCCAGGAATCGACAGCAAAGTACTGTGAATGAAAATCACAGCAACACCTTGACGTCCACTGTTCCATTGCTTGACTGAAAGCTTTTGCTTGCCTTGCTGATATCTCTCTCCTCTCCTGCGATGTAGTTAGAGAATTCAATGATGATACTAGTTTCTAGACTCGTCTCCCATTCCAGTAGGTTGCAGTAAGGAAGTAAGATTAGTAAGCGAGAGTCAGTTTTTAGTCTCAGTGATTTCGAAACTGTTCCCAAAACAGTTCCAAACTAGGAAGAGTCACAATTTCAATACGCGACCAAATTTGGAAGACGGATGCAATAAAGAAGTAGGGAGTAGAGTACGGTAGCTCATGGTAGAGGAGCCTTTCATATATGACAGACAAGAGACAAAATAGTCAGATCAAACGTCGTTCTGATTCATTGTCTATTAATGTATTTCCAGTAAATTGTCATCCAAAAATATTCTGGATCTGATCCATGCATTCCTCACGAGTTCTTGTCATATCCTCTGAACTCTGTAATAACAATAATCCTCGCATTTGATATAGCGCCTCATTACGTCTTTGAGACGTCTCAAAGCGCTTCACAGAACATACTGTAAAGTGTAGTGACTGTGTGTTTTGTGGACAAAACGCGGCAGCCAATTGCACACAGCAGTGTTTCACAAACAGTCGTGGATTGAGTGACCAAATTATTATTATTTTTGGAGGGATTATTACCCCCGGAAAAGCAATCCACCAACTAGCACCTATAGTAGGACTGAGGAAACGATGGATATAAGAAATGTTTGTACTAATGCGATTCCACTTGTATAACTTAGCCTTAAATAAAACTGGCTCAGCAGCCACTCACTCTGTAACCATTTGGGAAGATTAATATAAGTGGTTGAAAGCCTTGGAATGCTAACTTGATCTCCTGCAACTGTGAAGTGGTCTTTAAGTATTTTAGTGCTGTTTCATGTACCATTAAGGAAAGAGTGTATAGTTTGTCGAAATTACTTGTGACTTAAGTGAAATTAACACTTTGCAATTTACATGTAAAATTGTTTGAGAGCTCAGGAAAAATACATGCAAGTACAGACCGATATTGACGTTCATTTCTTCATGCTTTTCGGTGGTAATAATCCCTTCAAAAAAATAATAGAAATGTGGTCGTTCAATCCACGACTGTTTGTGGGACACTGCTGTGTGCAATTGGCTTTTGATCCCATTCTTCCAGATCCTTCCTCTTTGTGAACTGTCACCATCTTCCTCCCCTCCTCCCCAGATTGGCATCGAGCTCCGGCACTGTCAAGGCTCAAGGCACCTTCTGGCGTGAAGGGCGCTGTGCAAATGCAAGTTGTTGTGTGTTTGGGTGCATGCATGTGCGTGCGTGTGTGTGTATATCCCTATACAGTCAAAGGGCCTTACACATGAATAATGTCCACTGAGACACCAGAGAGTAACTGTTCGAATAAGAGGAGTCCTAGGCTGGAGCAGGGAGGGTGAAAATAATTAGATCCACTAAATTTATATTAAAAAAAGTTTCTTAACTGAGGCTAGCGTCCCTGTCCCTACCACTCTCCGGGTAACGCAATCCATTTAATCAACGCTCTCTGTGTCTGTCCTTCACAACCAGCTCTTTTGGTGGACCCCAATTATTGCTGTCCATTTATTTTCCCTTTCCCATTAAGCGTCTTATAGATCTTTAAGAGGTTCCCTTGGAGATTCTTCCATAAATAATTCATACTTTAAATAACAGGCCTGAAATCAATACGGTATAAAGGGCCTCAATACAACCACCTTCATTTCCCGGGATGCAAATTCAACAGCAGTCACAAAACGAGGACCCAGGAGAATGAATTCATCTCAGCCTGTAACAAGTTTAAATATTAATACTTTAAATAAAGATGCCTAGCATCTGTTTTCGTCGATAGCAAAGCAGGCTGTCAATGCCTGACTACACATCTGCATTCTGATGAGAACTGCGAGGGAAATGCACTTTTAAAACTTTTATCAGCTCAAACAAGACTGGATCAAACGCCACACTTGTCAAGTCGTTCTTCTTTCTGAGATGTGTATCAAAAAGGCATCACAACCCATTTGTGTGATTGTACTAATAATATATCAACTCATTGGCTTGCCAGGGGATACTCTTCTGTGATTATTTTAACGTGCCACGATGTAAACATTCCAACACGCTCACTCGCTGCCACGACGGCGGATTGAAAGCAAAGTGAAATGGCAGAAAATCCACCCGAAAAAAATCGGGTCTTCTCAGCAGTTAAGGTGAATGTTTGTGTGTGTGTGTGTGTGTGATGCGGGGTGGTGGGGGGGGGTCTTATTGGCCATAAATGAACATATTATTTGTTTGTTATAAAAGTGAAAGTGTTGGAAAATTGTATTAATTAATAAAGGGTGATTTTATAATCCAGGTGTTATGTGTCACAGAGACACAAGCTGAAAGAGCCACCTGCTATACTGAATTTTGTTTCTTTTCCGCAAGCTTTCGCTGTTACTGCTTACAGAGATTAAGCCACACTTTCCAGAGAAAGCTGTTATGAAGACAGCATCTCTGCTGGCAAAATACATGGTCACTCCACTGCAGCATATCCTATAAAGTGTTTTGCGATGTCTTATCAACGTGAGAGGTGCGATATCAAATGGAAACATTAACATTACATTAGTATTAACACTACCTGTCCGCAAGTTCCCACAGCCCGCAAATACACACATTAGTTCCTGCTTTTTATCAATGGAGCAACCGACTATGAAAGGAATTCAGCGCATTGCTACTGTTTTATCAAATAAAAGCACTGGGATTTCTCTACAGAGGTAGAGAAGTCATCTGTCTTCAGGAGCAGAGTCAGATGGATGCTTTTCACATTGGTCCAAATGAGAGCACAAGTGAACTTGTGTTATCAGCTAAGCCTGGAAGCTATGCTGATTTTCAGTCTCGTCTGAGTGAATCTCAACACCAATCCACCAGGTACAGCGAACTTCTTTAAATGACTAAAGAGGAATATTCAGAACCAAGCAACAACAACAACAACTTGCACTCTTGACGTGGGACAGTGCCCCAGAGCAACCCAGAGGAATGGGGATGAAAATGGCAAAATCTCGTTCCATGTGGCTACTGGGACGTGGGATCTGTGACGAGTGCAGTCACCTGCGAAATTTATCATCGTTCTAAAAACCTTCGGAGGAATCGTACAACTAGACTCCTCCAACAGGGAGACATTGGATCCAATAAAATTAATCCAAATGCACAGAAGATGCTCTTAGTCTTTCCTTGCTTCCCACAGAGATGGAAGTCTATCTGACCTTTGCCTGTCGTTTATCTGTCTAAATCCGGCTCACTTTCTGTACTTGGTCCGACAGTCAGTCCTTGGTTTCACATGAGATATTTGTTAAATCTCAAGGAGAGCCTCAGGGCTTTGGGCAAAGTATCAATTCATAGAAGACCACAGCACAGACTGGTATGTTTAGAATATCAATGACTATTCAGGTCAAAGGCTGAAGAAGGATTTTAGATCAAGTAAAATCCAATCCACTCTGGGGGAGATTGAACCAGGCACTGCCGGAAAAAAAAGGTTTGTACTAATGGAACATTCTTCCTTCCACGATTCAACCAGCGACATCTCGTAAACCTAGACAGTGACTATACAGTCTAGACTCGACTGGTCTTTGCTACAGTCAAGATCTTTTTGAATCCAGATTCTCACCCAACCTCGGAGCCACTCCCACAAAAGGGGAGGTTTAAGACTAGCCCAGAAATAAAAGATGCCACAAAGCAAATTGGAGCATATGTAATCAAGAGAGAAATTCCACTTGGCTCTAGACCAATGTTGTCCACTATTATTTGATGTAGCGCCTTATCATGTCTTTGAGATGTCTCAAAAGTCTTCACAGAACATATTGTCAAGTGAATTGACTGTGTATCTTAACAAACATCTACAGCCATTCATTGCGAGGCTTTGTAGTCTTTCCGTGCACCACAGTTTGGAATCTGGAAATGGATTTACCGGATACAGCACATCACGCTGCAGCTTCTAGGTTTGTGTCTAGTAGTTGCGAGTGGTACTGTCACTCCTGACGCACACCGTTTGAGCAGTTTTGTCTTACAATTTACAAAACTGGATAACCTTAAGTTTTATGGCAAAATGATCTTAGATGGTAAGAGAAGGTGGAATAACAGACTATTTGATGAGGTACATCAGGACAAAGTATAGGTCAATTCTCTGTGACACGTATCACCTCCTGAAATTATCTATTAAAGTCGGCACTTTAGCATAATAATTACTGGCGAGTATTCACAACAATGTCACTTCCACTTTAATCAAGCTCCAGGAACTCGGAACATTTCGCTCATAATCTTCCCCTGCTGCTAGAATCAGCCACAGAGGCTTGTGTTTTGCTGCGATGCTCAATTTGCTTGTGTACATTAATTAAACATCGTGCATAGTTACATTAATATTAAAGTTATATTAAAATTAGGCCAGGCATTGGAATCCTGAATTTGTGAGCAGTTTCTCATTACTCTGGATTCAAGGGCACCTTGGAACTGTTTGTTTGAATGACTTTTTAGTCTGTTCTTTGATATATTTTGTGATTTTTTCCCACCTTCAATCTAAGTCTGCAGTCGGAATGCACGGAATTGCCCAGACTGAACAGCAAAGGGCGCTATACAAGTGTAATTTGTTGTTGTTGTTGCTCATAGATATCAGGCAACTGGCCCTGTTTGTCTGTTGATGCCCTTCGAGAGCTTTACATTGCTACGCTGCGCCCCAGGCTGGTTCAATCACTCATGCAGAGGAGTGTTCAGGTGTCGGCTTTCAAACCATTTCTGCCTGTGGTTTTTATCTGGTCGACTTTGCCGAGCTTGGGGTCCACGTCAGCATTCTCGATGAAAGGTGGTGGTGGTGGTGGTTGTTGTTGTTGGAAGAACCCCCTCTGAAGCACAACTTCAGAGGAGGTTTGAACACTGGCGGAAAACTGAGGAGCTTGAGAAATTTTAGTTTTGGGGAATTTCAATTTCCCCAATGCAATGCCAACATTGGACAATTCATTATTTTCTGTACCCACAAGACTTGATATTCTGATCATCCTCTGCCCGCTCCCTGCCTGCTCTTTGCTATCGGAAAATCTATCAGCCAAAAGAGCAAAATAAGTTACCTCTGAAATCATCCCTCCTGCCTTTGTTGAGATAAGACTAAGATAAGAGAAGAGAGGAGACGAGACAGGCACATCATGATATTCTCTGGGAATTGAAATGTCATGAAGTGATGGGCGATGACTTTCATCATTTACATCCATCTTATCGATAGAGATGCTTTTCAAACAGACTGAGATGGAGCAAAAGTGGGCAGCATATCTCTCCACATTTGTCTAGACAATGACATCTTCTTTTTCCGTGCGTTTTTATTCATAAGTAAACCCCTGGAAGCTTGCGTACATCTACATTTGTTTATTGCTCTTCTCAAATCAGCTTGAGACATCAACAAGTACAAACCAGACATCATCCCTCACTCTTCGAATGGGATTTGTAGGATTCGCTCGTGACACAAAGCGCGAGTGCTTGAAAGCGTGCGAGTTCGGCACACACTGTTGTTAGTTTTTCTTTTTCTTGGTTTATCCCGTGACCCGTTCATTTATTCCAGTTTATTCCGTTCTCCTCTTTGCTAAAGGCGTCTGGCTCCTTTGCTCCCCTTGGGGTTCAGCTCCACAGACACCCACTCTTTCTCTATGTGTGAGCCACGTCGCAGGCTTTATTTATGTTGGGCCATGACATTGATTGTTGGCAGTTTAATCGATCAAAGAGGCTTCTGCTCTCACTCAATGTCTCCACCACCTTCCTGTAGGTCTCTGGTTAACAATAAGATGCAGGAACCTTTCCACAACCTAGGAACACCATGGATGAGCTCAACTAACTCAACGGGATTTGAACTTGCAACTCGTCTGTACGTCCGTATAGACTGGGTACCTTTACCTACTAGGATATCGGAGGAGCTTAAGATTCTCTTGAAGAATCATCACCGGCTCTGCCACTACAACACTGATCACCGTCTAATTGTTTTGTATGCTCCTCAATATCCAGGGCATGAACAATACTTCTTCAGATTGCAGGAGAAGAACTGGTAAATTGATCACAACTTTTTGAAAGCTCTGCGTCTCATAAACACAGGACACTCGTCTGCCCTGCCCGGGAATCGAAGCCAGGTCCTCTCGATTGCGAGGCGGGTGCACTAAAAACTATCCTACAGGTCTCCACTAAAAGCTCCGCTTATGATTTTAGTGGATGAACAGTAGGCTGACTACATACCCAAAGTGGAGACATTTCTTAAGAAAAAACACACAATTGACATCGTTTCATAATTCTGTAAGGTCTTAATGATCTTGCGAAACACGGGACACTTTGGCTAAAAACCTTCCCGTAATCTTTTCTTTTGTGGACCGACAGCAGTCATTGGTTAAAGAATATATACATTTATGATTGATAACAAAATGTAGAGGTCCACAGGTGCTCAGAATTATATATTCTGGTGCTGAAATATGTTTTATATGAGCTTTGGAGGTTATAACATTCATCACGAATAAAACTACTGAACTTCAATAAACTCCTTTGGGTAAAGTCAAGCAGAAAACTAGCAATGCATTTCACAAGCAAAAGTATCAATAATGCATGAGCTATAAGCATTTATGCTGCCATTAGACACTGAAAAGAACCCAGCGACACACCGTAATGGCATAACCCGCACAACACTGAACGCTTGCAAAAATGTCACAGCAATAAAACCAAACTAATCATCCCAGAAAATAATGTTTGTTGTTAAATTGCGGTATGGATAAGGCATCACACTGCAGCAAAACATTCAGGTTCTGCTCAGCATTGGGATGATTCAAAGTTTGAAGTACTCAAAGCAACTCCAGCGGAGATCTCAACTCACAGATCTTGAGGGGTATTTGAGAGGGTATCAGGAGGGGTGGAGATTCATGTGGAGTAGACACACCAGCATGGACTACTTGGACGATGTAACTCTATGTAAATCTATTGTCTCTTCAGAAAATACCCCTACGTCCTATTCAAGCATCTGTACATTGCTGTAGGATTTTCATTATAAACTTAGACGCGAGAATACCAGAGGAATCAATAATACAAAATCTCACAAGATTATAAAATAATGGTAAAATCAGCCATGGTCTCGTAGAATGGCGGAACAGGCTCCAGGGGCTGAATGGCCTACTCCTGTTCCTATGTGCTTGCCTCCTCAGCTTGTGTTCCCTGTCAGCCATGTGTAATGCTTTCAGACAGCCTCCTGATGTGAAAGACGCAATATAAATGCAAATTGTTGTGTTTTTGCAATTAGAATGTTTCTGTAGTAATATAGGCATTAAATATTTAACAGTGGTTTCCATAATACATAATTGAGGACAATTAAACATATGTCACACTGCTACAGATAATAAATGAACTGTGGAGGAATTCTTAATTCTTACAGATATTCAATAAAATGTAAAAGGCGACAGAAAAGAACCTCTTCAAAGAAAGAAAGACTGGAAGGTTAGCGCTTTTCTCTCTTGAGATGGGACAATTAAAAGGCGATCTGACAGAGGTGCTTGAAGTTACGAATGGATTTGGTAAGATAGACATCAATAGGTTCTTTCCACTTGCCGGTGAGTCAAAAACATAAATGGCGGCATAAATATAAGACAGCTGGTAGCACATCTGAAAGGGAGTTTAGGAGGCAACCAGTTTGCACTTAGCAATGTCCCACAAACAGCCATTATGTCAACGAACAAGTTTATCTACGGGTTTGTTATCTTAGTACTCATTGCAAACGAAGACAAAGAACAAGTCATCTTATTAATAGCGTTCGCACCAACTGTACATGCTGAAGTGCATCTTAAGAACGTAAGAACTTGCTCAGTGAAAGAAGACCAAGATCCATCTAGTTCCACCTTCCACCCTGGCAGTCACTTGACATGTGGTGTCCCAAACTATATACTGCATACATCTTACCTTAGATGAGTATGTATGACCATCGGAACCACAGATAGGGCTGGGGTGGACCACTGTACAAGGCTTGCATTTGGCCAAACTGACTCCTCCAATCCAACGTTTGTGAGGGAGCCCTACCTTTTTCTTACTGACACTGCAAAACAAAGTTATTGTCCATCAAAACAAACCGCAAAATGTGGTGCGTTACATCAGCAACCGCACTCCCAAAGAATGTTACTGTCTTCTGCAGGATTAGGCGATATCACTGTTTCTGGAGCTTGAGCTGTGATGAGATCACACTAAGGCAACTCATTCAATCATGCTGATAATTATCAACTGACATTCTGTTATTTCCTAACAAACTGGAACAATTTGAATCGCACTGAATCTGTTATGAACCGTTGCATTTTTGCCTTCTCCCCAATATCGCCAACAGCATCGTTTTGGGATGCAGGAATCTGGTCGGCGAGATCGTCTCAAAGTCCATCTGTCGGACTTCGTAAGTCACAGATTTATTCACAAAATAAACTACAGATTTGTTCAAAAAATAGAAACCTCTAAAAACGACAGGGAATCAGCCAATTCCAGTGAGTCCGCTAGCTAAAAAGGAATTAGTTAGGCTTCATTTCCACCACATAGCATCTGAAGGTAACTGTTGTTTTATCCAGTTTACTCATTGTGAGGTCTATTAGTATTGTTAAATTGACTTCAATTATAAAGATGGTTTGCCTACAAAAGCAATGTTGAAGGTTAATGCAGTGCAGAGTTTTTTCAAATCCTCTGCAAACAAATGGGCTAATTGCAGTAAATGTGATTTCAAACACAATGAGAATACAAAGCGGTCCAGATTGTAAGGAATCCGAGGCAAACTCAGGGCTGTGAGACCGGGAAATAAATGTTATTTGTTTTATAATGTTACCAGTTACTCTTGTAGTATGACTCTTAACCAGCAGCCCAAAGGTAAGTGTTTATTTAGCAATCTACAGTGTCGATGTCGGAGAAAGAGATAGAGAAAGAGGGCAATTAATGATTGGTACATGTTGCCAGAAAGGGTTTTTGCCCTCACCGGGAATCGAACCCAGATGCTCTCACTTGCTGTAACAAATACGCTACAGGACTCCGCAGTTACTCAGGAAACAGTACTGCTCCCATAAGTTATGGATATTGTGAAATGCCAACACTCTTAGGGGCAATAGACTAAGCAGTTATTCATGGCAACAGCCAATTTCTCTCAACGCACTGCACTGCACTGCATTTCCACCTTAAAGCATTCTGAAAACAATGTCATTATCATTTTCCTCATCAGGAAAAATGCCGTCCTCCTGAACAACAATGGAAACAATTAGCCCCATGGAAGCTGTTTCCGGCAAGGCAGGCGGGTTCTGATAGTCTTCATCAGGGAGCGGAGGTCTCTCCTTGAGCCGTAGCCATGGTAAAAGCTGTGTGCTGCCCAATTAAGCAAAACCTAAAATTCTCAAGTCTAATTAATGTGCAATTTCAAATAATTCCCGGCTGATTACTGCCCAGCAGTGGCTTCAGCACTGATATTTTATGGGGATTATTTCTGCCTTACATTTCCTGCGTTCAAGCATTGTTCCCGATTTGCCTTTAACAGCAGTCCCTTGTTGTTTTTCCCGATTACCTTGAAGGCTAATTAGACCTTACAGAGCTGTCGGTCTGATGAAAGCAATAGCTTCATTAGTCTACGAACAGACAGACCCAGTCAGCGGTACCATGTCAACCAGCAATCCCAGTAGTCGTTTCTGCCCACAAGTACCACACAGCCTCCAGGATGAAATTACAGACATTTATATTTGCCTTTACCACAGGAAGAATTAAACAAGTGTCTACATGATGCTCGCAGGGATAGAAGAAAATGACCACTTTATTGCACTCTTGGTCTCGCTCACTCTAAATTACAAGCACGTGCATTTTGTTCTGACAGAGACTGGAAAGCTATTGTCCCAGTGTTGGCAACAAACACACATAAACGCGCACGCACAACAGGCACACACGCACACACACGCAAACATACGTGCGCACATACACACACATACTCTCAGGCAGACACAGACAGTCACATTTCTTAGCAACTTATCAATATATACACAGATGTCGGTTCAAATGGATTCTCAAGTCTCTGCCAATACTAACTCTGGAAACATTCTTCCATGTTATCTCAGATAATAATAATAATTATTATAATCCTTGCATTGGATATAGCGCCTTATCATGTTGTTGGGACATGTCAAATTGGGGTGGTTTGTTCCATTCCCTGGCTTTCCTGATAGACCGTCTAGAACTCAGTTCACATCAGGACATTTCACTGGTACATCAACAGGTTACAGAGCAGACTGGCCAAACGTTGTAGAATGATATTTTCTGAGGCATGTACCAAGGTCTCTGAAGACACCTTAAACAGATAGGAATTAGGGAGAGCTTTCAGATTGATTAATCTGTACTGAAACTGGTGCCAGTGTGAATAAATCAATCGTGTCAATTGGTTTCATGGAAGCAGAGGTCGATCTCCACTGAATTGTTACCATTGAATCCCTGTACCTCATCCCATTGATGGGCAGTGTCACTGATTATCCCTTCATGCCAACAGTCACTGGCTTTAGAAAGATAGAAACTGTTTAGTAAGGTCGGCAGATCCGTCGGGTGATTCAGGACCGAGGTGGGTAGATTATTATTAGGTCAGGGTATTAAGGGATACGCAGGGCAAGTGCGGGTAATTGGACTTGGGATATAGATCAGCCATGAATGGAGGAACAGGCTCAAGGGGCTGAATGACCTACTCCTGTTCCTATGTTTCTATGTTTCAAAGAAGGCAAAGAAAAAAGACCCATTAAACGCCAGCGTGATAATTGGGATATCTCCTCACAAGGTCACAATATTGTTTGGGGCAACAAAGGGATTTTGCAGCGATTGAGAGGCTACAGAGGAGGGCAACCAAAATGATTGAGGGGGTGGAGGGACTGGACCCTGAGGAGCGATTGGGCAAGTTCACACCGGAGAAGAGAAGGTTCAGGGGCGAAATGATTATGGTTTTTAAGATTCTGAAGGGACGAGATAATGTAGACCCTGATCAGGGCTGAGCTCAACACATCTACATGAAGCACTCAAACAGCAACATCACAAATAATGTTTGGACGTTGTAGATTGAATGCTCCTTCTTTTACCGCTAACTTCTGTTGCATGAAAGGCACTATTCCCAATTCACCCCAAATGAAGCGATTTGAAACATGTTTTTTTTTAATTGCTTTACAGCGCAGTGTGTTGACGGGTGGAAATTCCATTAGAATGTCTTCATTTTGTGCACAGCTCTCACTCTTCAACCTGAAGAAACGGGAAAAGCTCACCAGCGGTAAATGACGCAAATATAAATTAGATGCCAAACATTGGTCGTTTGAAATCAGTTAGTGAAAAAACAACAGAACATAATGAGCATTATTATTATTACAATTATAATGAGCACCACATTAAAACACTGACAGATATTTATGTGCCAGTTATCAGTAGACTAACTCGTTAATACCTCATTAATGGAAGAATGCCCCTTCAGTTCCTTTTCTTTACTGAGAACAAGGTTTTACTACACTGTTCAGGAAACAAGAAGCAAAGGGTTTTGCGTGACTTGCATTACACACCACATAAGTGATTTTTCTTACGTGAATCGACTGTGTATTTTGTATCCGGTTATTCCCAAATCTGCTCTTCGAAAGAGCATTTTTTTTATTCCTGCGGAGAGAATAGTAATTGGAATCACATCCACAAAATGTGAAGTGGAATCCAGAGTTGAAAGAGCGGAGGAGTCAGCAAGGAAAGTCAGCAAGGAGCGGATGGATTGGAAAGCGAGGATGAGGAACTTGAAATTGTTTGGCTGGGAGTCAGCAGAGCCTGGCAGGCGAGGAACAAGATGATGGGCGTGCAGAGCTTACAGACCATAACAAACTCCCTCTTTATTTCAGACGTCACCCGTCTGTCTCAGAAATAAACGGGATAGATTTCCTGAAATATCTAGAACGTATTCTAAGCATTGTTAACGTTATTTCCTCCTGGAAATTCTTGGACAGGGCTGAAATATTTTTAAAAAAAACAGACCTAAAAGCTATATTATTAAGGCAATCTGTTTTAAGTCATGAGCTTTGCTGTAAAGAGTTCTTACCTGTGCATTAGCTGCTTGCGACTGACACAAAGAGCTGTTTGGTAATCGTGGGTGACACACACCTTGCGCGGACTGCATTTCACCCTCAGACATAGCTCTTTAGTAGGATCCAGATCTAATAAAGAAAAAAGAAATAAATACGCTTAATTTAATCATTAACATGTTTGACAGTGAAGACCAAATTCAGAGATCGCTTCCACATTCAAGGTTTCGTTTTCCCCACATTATACACTATACCGGGTCTCAGGTGGTTTCTCAGCTCAGAGTCAGGAGGTTGTGAGTTCAAACTCTACGTCAGGAGTTTGAGCTGATAGTCTAGGCTGATATCTCAGTGTCGTGCTGGGGTAATGCTGCCGTTCTTAAGGTGAGATGTTAAACCAAGTTCCCGAGCCGGGGGGAGGGTGGGGGAAGAGAGGGAGGAGGTGACCGTAATCATGGTCGAAGAGGAAGGAGAGGGGGGCTAAGGCCGAGGGATTGGGGGGAGAGAGTCCCAAAGCTTCGGGGCGCAGTGGCTGAAGGCGCAGCCGCTGATGGTGGAGCGGAGGGGGACGAGGCCAAGAAGGTGGTCGGAGCCGGTCGAGCGGAGGCAGCGGAGAGCGGAGTGGCGAAGGGAGCGGGTCCGAAAGGCAGGGAGGTGCCAGAGAGTGAAGGGATTTACAGACGAGGGATAGGATCTTGAAATCAATCCGCTTTGTGACAGAAAGCACTTTAAAGACAACCAAGCTACAACACCGAAGACGTCACACTCCTGCAAGCCTCAAACATCACACTGCGTATTAAACATCCATCAGTTCAAATAAAAATGCGATGGGCATCAATCAATCACCTCCTATTTATCCCGGCGGACCGACCGACACATTGTCTCGGGGAATTGATAATTGCGGTCTTGCACTGGAGAAAAATAATCGCGCGGGAGAGAAAAACAAGAATCTTATTTCAAATTCTTAATTTCCGAGTTCAGAAACACCGGAGGAGGAGGAAGAAAAAAGCAAAAGGCCATGTTGGCAGCTGGGAATGAATTTTGCCAGAGTGGACAAAGTGGGCAAAGTGGGCAACGGGGTTCTTCTGCAGAATGTTATTTAAAGTGTTCAAAAGGAAAACTGCTTTGCAAACACGGAACTCATTTGCGTCGTGGATTCACACGCTCGGGAATAGATGAGGAATTGCAAGTGCGGAATATTTTGATCAGAAATCAATCTCACTGTTCTGTGGATTCGATAAGAGAAATTATTCAGCCTTGACTCCCCAGTATCGCAGATCGAGATGAACAAATGGCAGACTGCATTTTCATACCACAGGATTCGTTTAATCTGAATCCTAATCCTTAATAAAGAGGCAACAGACTGCTGGCTACCTCATTATTCAAAAGGTTTCAATGTGCGTGCTCATTATAACTAAACACAGGTCGAAATAAATTCACTTTGATACAAGGCAACAGTAGAGTTGTCTCTAATTACTTTCTGACCTGTCTGACATTTTATTGCTTAAATTGCGCAGACAGAATATAATTCTCTGGAGATGTTCGATCTCTTAAACTCCGGGTCGCTAGTTTATACCTTGGACGGGAGTCACTTAGTTCATTTTAAAATGGCTCGTGCCATCTCCCGTCTCTGTGTGAGCTGTGAAGCGTTTGCTGAACAGTTTGTTCTGTGATGCAGGAGTCAGGCGGGTTAAGCAAAGGTCTGTATTCAAAACAGACTAATGCCCCCCCATCAATCAAAGGCCCCAAATTCACTCTAGTCCTACTTAGGGTGTGACTGTAATGTGTCTTAAACATTAACGGCGCAAAGACATGTGCAACATTTCTTAAACTGAGTCCTATTTTAGAAGCTGTTTTCCCACAGTTCTTAACAAGAAACCAGTTTCCGAATGAACACTGAATTCACAATTCTGCCCCATCTTCTATTTGCAGTGCTCCGAGACGCTATCCTGCAATAAGGGCTGTATATAAATGCAAGTTTAAGCCAAAGTGGTCTTCCGGGGTAAACTAGGCAGAATTTTTGGCCTATAGTCATCATCTTACAAAATCTAAATTAGAACCAGTTAAAGTAGAGTTTTGTGGCAGGCAAGCTGAATAATAATGATAATAATAATGATAATAATAATAATAATAATGATAATAATAATAATAATAATAATAATAATGCTTGCTTTGTGGTGATTTTGCCTGTTTGGGGTTGGAATTATCATATACTGGTAAATGATGGTAAAGCTCCAAATAGATTATAATAACAAATAATAATCCTTGCCCTTGAGATAGCGATGTCTCAAAACGCTTCACAAGATTTACTGCAAGATGTAGCGACTGTGCAATTGTTAGTGGCAGTTAAGCTGCGCACACCAATGCCCCACAAAACAGCCATGAAGTGAATAACTAATTTAGTCAGGTTTCAGCTTGGCTCACCTCTCAATAATAATAATAATAATATTAATCCTTGCATTTGATGCAGCGCCTGATCACGTCATTGAGACGTCTCAAGGTGCTTCGCAAAATATACTGTAAAGTGAACTGACTGCGTATTTTGTGGGCGAAATCAGATGGTTGTGGGTTCAAGACCCACGATGGGATGCTGAACTCACTGACTTGGGGCTAACATGCCATTACACTGCTGCTGTTGTTTTAGGGAACAGTTTGCGAACATAAAAGAGGTCTATCATAGGCCAGATGATTGCAAATCACTCCAAACATGTTTCATTTAATAAGAATAATCTGCTAAATGAGACACTGCTATTTTCAGCAAAACACTCCAATTAACTGGCTTCATCTATAAACCTGTAATTCGCTTCCAAAGTTGTCAATCACTAATTACTTCGTTGCTTAACAATGTTCTAACCGTGAACTGCTTCATTCCCATCTGATTGTGCCTCGCGAAACCGAGAGGTTGGATACACAGAGCAGGAATATCAACGTACAAGAGAGAATGAAACATGATTCAAAGGCTGAGCTGATCAAGACACAAAGACATAAAGCAATTATAATAATAATAATAATCCACCTATTTGATATAGCGCCTTACCACGCTGTAGAGACACCTCAAAGGGCCTCACAGGTTATACTTTAAAGTGACTGTGTATTTTGTCATAATAATAATAGTAATAATCCTTGCATTTGATACAGCGCCTTATCACGTCTTCGAGACCTCTCAAAGCGCTTCACAGACTATACTGTAAAGTGTAGTGACTGTGTAGTTTGTGGACGAAACGTGGCAGCTGATTTGCACACAGCAACGTCCCCACAAACAGTCGTGGATTGAACGACTAATTTTTATTGGGGGATTGTTAGCCAGGACACCAGGAGAAGCTCCCTTTTCAAATACTGCCACGGGATCTTTAACATCCTGAACCAGCAGATGGAAACTCGGTCTCAACCAAAGGACGGCACTTCGAACAACACATCACACCCCCAGCACTGTATTGGGAGTGTCAGCCGAGACGACATGGACTATACAAGGTCTTCAATCCCACATTCTTCTGACTCAGAGGCGAGATTGCTGTCAGTTGTCGTGTGAGGGCGTGAGGTTTGTACGAATGTAGGTGCAGAGTTTTGTGTTCAGCGTTGTGTATTATATTTCTCCAGCCTGGATATTAACACAACCTGACTGGCAAAGCACTCAAAGCATTCACTGCTCGTTTTGTTATTCACTACAGCACAGGCAAGATTCTCCTGCTGCATTTTTGCTCACTGAAAGGTCAAACTCGAGCGAAAACCATCACACTGTCAAAATAGTTTCAGACTCAGTTTGCAAATGCCCAAGAAAGAAAGCAAGCGAGAGAGCAAGAGACACACACACATACACACCCACACCTACACAAACACACACGCACACATACACACACACACACCCACACCCATACACACACCCACACACAGTCACACACACACATATCCAAACACACACACACAAAGATTCCCGTAAAAGACAGACAAGGTTTTTAAAGATGAGATTTTGAAGCCGAGTGTCAGGGATTGCCGTGAGAATTTGAATAAACGTTACTTTTATGGAAAGTTTATGAAATGCATTTCTGGGAACGTCCTCAGGATTGGTGATATATCAACAATTTCACCTCTAACTTTCCCCAAGTTTCTCGTGCTGCCCGGGCTGATATATACTGTCACAGCAGGACCGACTGTACACACCACACACCCGACTTGAGAATGCAATGGGGAATATATCCATCCCGATTTGTGTTGCAGACGCCCTATGGAATGTTAGGCGTTGCCTTGGTCAATCCAGTGGAAACTTTTAAAACTTAACAGTGAGTCTCGTCAAGCGCTTTGAGAGGTTTTGACGAGGTATTAACGTGAGAGAAAAGCACAGTGCAATCAAATGCAAGATTATTATTTTTTTCTTATTACCAAATAAAGTTCGTGCTGAGCTGCTATCAGTTCCAGTGAGTTAATGGTCATGGTTCTCCCATATAAAAAGAGAGCCACAACAACAACTTGCATTTATATGTCGCGCCCCCTCACACAGGGTAGGATCCCAGAATGCTTGATTGAGGTGGAAACTGCCATTCATCCCAACAGAATTCATCAACAAGACCATGTACAGAAGATCAAGCCATATTAAAATCAATCTTAATTCACCCACAAAATATACAGCCAATTCACTTGACAGTATTCTATGAGGCGCTTTGAGACGTCTCGAAGACGTGATAATGCGCTACATCACATGCAAGGATTATTATTGTCATTATAATCTTAATTTCAGAGCTGTTTTGAGAGTTATTAAAGGCTGCGTTATACCTCAAACCATCACCCATCTGGGGAAACAACAGGTTTCTTGGCTGTGATATTGCTAATGTTCTTGCAAATATCTTTTAAAATCTCTAATCAACTTCTGCAAAGTTCAGGCATTTGGACTGGCATGTTAATGTGAAAAATGCTTGACACGTGACCTTTCACTGCATGGTTCACAATTTATACAAACAATATCTTCCAATTAGGCAGAAACAGGCCTTTAATGTCATTATTATTTAAACTCAACACAAAAGCACTGGAGAAATTCCCATACAAGGTCATTGTTCCCCAGCAGGTCAAAGGAATGCATCTATGTTTATGTTCACATATTTAATGGTTAATTAATATCATCAATTTAAGTAAATTCCCTGCCC